GCCCCAGTTCTCCAATCTGTCAGAATGATTCTGAATTCTGATCCTGTCCCCTAGGGTATTGTCTCCCTCATAATGTTGTGCCGTCTTCAGATTTGATCAACATTTATCAATCATCCTAGCCATCTATAAAGATGTTGAATAACACCAGGCCCTGGACAGATCCTAAAGCCCTCCACTAATCTTGTCTTTTCAAGATGAAGAGCAACCATTGGTGATTATTCTCTGGGTTCAGATCCACCAAACAAAGCCAACAGATTGTCAAAAAATAGCCAATAATTCACACCTGAATTTGAAAAACAGATTCTATTAATGCTATAGGGGCCCTTGTAACATTTTTAAAAGAATAATTTCTGTTCCTGGAGTCTTCCAAGAAAGCCAGTTCATCCTTTTGGACCAGAAGAAGGTAGTGTGGTGAATCTGGAGGGCTTCAGGGCTACAAAAGCATCCCTGGGGCCACATTTTAACCTCACCAGTGTAGCATTGACCCTACTACCATTTTAATTCAATTGACATCTGATTGTGGGAAAGCAATGTCTCAGCCACACTGAATGGCCTTAATATGAAAATGACTGATGAGGGGAATCCTGATTGTCACCAGACACCTGCAAACATTGAAAATGGAAACCAACCACCCAATCACTGTGTGCCTTCAAATGTTCAAGGCAATATGGAAATAGGACCTGAATTGTAATCACAGCCCTTGGCAAGAGAAAGGGGAAATCACCAACACAATGAAAGAGCTGGCTTTGTAATCTACTCATCACGGAGCAGTTTTCTTGCACATGCATATTAATTACAGATTTATCAAGTGCAGCACTTGGAGGAAGACAAAAAAGAGACTTGTCTTCTTGGCATCAAACTAATATTTTCAAGTGGGCAGGTGGCCAGCTTCCCTTGGCCTTGTAGCAGAGGAATGGGCTGGTCAGAAGTAAGCTAGAAACAAACAGAGATGCAAATCTTGGTTTCTTTGTGTGCAGGGATGAAACATTTCAGTAATTGTATCCCTGCTGTCTGAGGTATACAATGGTGTGTGTGCAATTTGTGACAACTCTTCACACTTCAAGACCCTTTGAAGAAACATTTAGGCAAAAATAAGATGTGCTGTCTCTGAGCAGAAAATGTGTTGTTGTTTTTCACAGAAAAATTTTCTGCACAAAAAAGCAATAGCTTTTGCACAGGAAACAATGGTAGTAATCCTGCTGGTATCCTATTCATGTGTAACTTCCTCTACAGAAGTGGTCTGACATTGTGGTCCAATGTGCAATACATTCAGTTCAACACTGCAGAAGAGGAGTTGTGCATGCAATTTAGGTGTATGCCTGTGCCAGCCAAAATTGGATATAGTACTTCCTCAGTTGCACATTTTGTTATACCCCCAGTTGTGTAACATTACCCTTCAGCACAAGAGCCCCATACCACAATCAATGCATGTGTAGATTTGCACCATGCCACCCCAATGTAGGATCTCACCCACTATAGTTAAGTGCAATGCAATCACAACATGCAATAGCATAGCAACAGCATTTACATTTCTATAGTGTAACTATAGTGAACTCAGCACTCTCCAAACAGTTTATAATCTGTTCCCAACAAGCTGGGTACTCATTTTACTGACGTACGAAAGGAGGGAAGGCTGAGTCAACCATGGAGACCTGGGATCGAATTCACAGTGTTGTGGCTGTAGTACCAGCATTTAATCACTGTGCCACCAGGGCTCCATAATACACAAGGCCCAATTGTAAATTTGATCCACTGTCAAGTATAGTGAGATAACTGTTGCAATATGTTTTTTTAAAAAACAGCCACAAATAGTGGTTCTTCTTTCCTTCTAGTTTGGCCCACCACTAAACAGACCCTAACCCTTCTGGTTGCTCCATCAACTCATTTGGCAAGGGCAGCTGGAGAGGGGCAAGAGGGGCTTCTGAAGATGATCTTGACGTTAAAATGCCAGCATAAAGAGGAAAAGGTGGTCCTCCAGGCAAGATGGACCCCATTTGTTTAGATCAGGGATAGTCCAAATGTGACATGGGAGCCTCAGTGGTAGTTTTGTGGCACCTGACCCCTCGAAACTAATCTGGAACACATGTTTTTGTAGACTCCATTGGTGAATTGACAAGATGAACTCTTAATAGATAGCATAGGAAAATCAGTTAATCTATGCCTCTTTTACCTTGGACTGTGTTGATTGTATTTTATGTCGATATCCTGTCTCTCTAATCATCAATATACCCAAAGTACTTAACTTTGCAGTGCAAAGTTAAGTTAATTTCATACAAACTAAATATGATTTTTTAAAAAAAATTACAGCCATCAATACAATGGACAAAAGTAAATACAATTTTTAAAAACCTAGGGGAAGTAGTGAAAAGATAAGTTGTGTTTTTAGATAGGAATAAAAAACATTAAAACAAGGAGGATATATGGATCAGGTCAGCAAAGGAGGTCAAAGCCTATCTGATTCATATGGGTTTAAGTGAGATGCCCCTGACAAAACATACCCTGGAGTGCTAAATGAGCCTAGAAATCTCTGAGCCATCGTTAGTTAACATTCTCAGATGTGCATCTTCCAATTGAGGAAAAGAGCTCAGTGTTCATTCTGATTGAGAAAGAGGGCTCAAGGATTTATTGACAAATTAATTTGATGTCAACTTCTGGGAAATTATTAGACAGTGCCCAAAGCCCTCCAATTTATTATAATCCTCTGAAGACCTTGTCCCCCCACATCCATTCTGTGCTCCATGAGGAGTAGACAGAATCAGTGAAGCATCTGGCCATGGACTCCCGAGGACCTCAGCAGATCTCCACAGTGATGTAATCATTTTGTGTCTGGCTACAGGGACACAGCCAGACACCTCTCCAATCTTGCCCACTCCCCATGAAGCACAGAATGGGTATATGGGGAGCTTCAGTCCAGGGGAAGGATGGCAAATTATTCAGCCTAGTTTAAATCTGCATCCAGAACTACTATGCTGCACAGTGCATTGGTGCAACCATTGCCATTCAGTGCCATTAATGGTCACCATAATGGTCTGATGCAATACACAGAACATGTCAGAACCCAAAGGGGTTTTGATTCTGCCATTATGTATGAAGTTGGGAAATGTATATATAAAGCTTGTATTGGTTTATGTTGTATTTATATGTACATATAGAATGTGTTATCTGTATTAGGCAAGCTTAAATTTTAGCATTGATTTCAATAAATAGTTGGGAGGAGTTTTTCTGCAGTTGCCAAGCAGAAAAACAAAAGGCTGTAACAAAAGTTACCAGGCAGAAGTCAAATTGTTACATTGCAGACAGGCAGAGTTAGGTAACTCCAGTCTTGATATAGGGACAAGAAGGCAGAGAAGGGCAGTATCAACCTAAA